CTGGCACCACGGCCACCCTGCACACAGGGAGGTGACCCACGCCGTGCTGTGCAGACACCATCCACCACCAAAGCCTCCTTGGTTTCCATGCTCCCTGCTCCCCGCGGAGGCCCCACACGGCTCTGCTTCCAGCCCTGAGCTCCTGTTGGGTTTCTCCCCTTCGGAAAGAAGCAGCTGAGAAGTTCTGGGTAAAAGCACATCTCAGGTTGGGCACTGAGCAGCCTGTCCCCGTGCCACGAGTCTCCAAAAATGTCAGCCCTTAATGGGAAACACGCTTCCTATCGAGCGACTGCAAAAACTTCAGCGAAGCCTCTGCAATTAGCTCCGACCTGCTGCTATCACACCTGGCTGCTGCCGCCCTCCAGGGGCTCGCACACATCCACCTTCCATCTGAACTCACACGGGGGCTTCGGCTCAGATAACGAGATGGGAATGAGCTGCCAGGGCTGGGGGATGTCTGCTGGAGGAATGTCTGCATCCCTGGCAGCCAGCGCTGCCCGGAGAGCGGGGAGAACCAACAGGAGAATCCCGTTCTGCTGGAGACATTAAAACTGCATTTAACGCGAAAAGGAGAAACGAAGATCCTCCTTTTGTGTCCTCACCACTCAGCGCTGCTGGGTGCAAAACCCGCAGAGCAGCGGGGCACAGAACGGACCAGCAAAGGAAGCTCCTCGCTGCCCACAGTCACACATCTGCCCCTCGCTCTTATTTTAGAAAGCCTCCCTGGTAATTTGCCTGTGCTTTTGAAAAGCAAGTAATATGTTTTGAATTATAAGAGGTTACAGGGACATTTTTGTGGTAAATTTGGACTTTCATTTGCAAAAAGAAAAGAAAAAAAAAAACAAAAAAACAACCAACCCTTCAGAGCTACAGAAATCCGTTCGGAAATAACATTTTTTTGTCATTGCTAAGCACTTTTCAACAAAGCCTCACAGCTCCTGTTCCAAGGAGCTGTTTACATCCCGAGCAAAGAATACGGAGGTATTTCTGTCCCTGTGAGCAAAGGGAGGAGCGGCACAGCTTCTGTCTGCGTGCTGGGATGCAAAGAAAGGTGCGTGCTTTGCAGCATGCAGGCAGCATTTCTGAGCCGTTCTGAGCACCTCAGCAGCAGCCCCAGCTCAGGCAGCCAACCCTCAGAGCACCCAGCTCCTGTGGGCACCGATCCCATCCGGAAGCAGGAAACCACTGGGGCAGATCAGCACGACCAGCAGCTGTTACGGCGTGCTGACCCTCCTAGCGGGACAATTGTGCAGCCATCAGCAGGGGAGCAGGCAGCGTCTGCTGGCATTTATATGGGCACAGAACCATTGGAGCTGGAAGGCCAGCCAGTCAGAAAGGTCAGCCCCAGCCCCACGTGCTCCCTTTCGAAAGCCCTCCGAGATGCAACCACAGCCCAGGCACCGAGGGACAAACAGTGATGCAACAGCCAAGCAGCAGGATCTGCTGCAGGAAGGGAATTCGGTCCTTGGGACAGGAGGGGAAATGCTCAGGCAGCTTGAAGGCGTGCACAGGGCAGCGCATCTGTGGACAGGAGCTAAGGGCTCCTCAAGGGCACCGCTGGGAGAGCAGCTCAGGTCAGCCCAAAGAACGGGGCCGATGTCCAGGCTGACCCTCAGCAGGCGCCATTCAGAAGGCGGTCGGTGCTGACGGACCCCACGTGCCGCCTCCAGGCGCTGCCCGCGCAGCGTTCCCTTGCTGCTGGCACAGCTCTGCCATTGGGGCTCACTGAGCTGCACGGCCGTGACGAAGATGAGCTGGAGCCTGGCCAAGCCTGCACGGGGAGTTTTGATGGACGAGGGGGGAATCTTCATTCCAATCATTCCAAATTCTGACACAACGCCCTGAGAGCTGATCCTCCATCCCACACCGCGCCAGCAGTTCAGATATTCGGATCTCATCGAGGAGGAAATTAAAGCGGCTTAAAGGCACGAAGAGTTGTTCATTAAGCACAAATATTTATCACTGCGAGCACAGCGAAACCAGGCATTCACGCAATATTCCCACTAAAAGACACTTCCTGCACTGCCCGGTGCAAAGCCAACTCAGCCCAGCTAATAAGAGACCCACAGCACGAAGTCAGCATCCACAGAAAGTGCCCGTTCACTTTAGAGTAAGATCAAGACTGCAGAAGAGCAGAAAGTGAAATCCCAGCGCTCCTCCATCGACCCGCACACGATGGTGTGATGACAGGACGTCCTACAGGGGCACCCGGTGGGGAATGCGGGAAGGGATTCCCTTCTTTGGGGGTCTTCCCATCAACCCTGGATCCCGAGAGGAGCTGAGCCACCCAACCCAGCACAGCCAGCCCAGCCATCAGCCACTCGGATGCAAACTGCTCAGATGCGGCTGCCTTCCATAAGTTCTTTGCATTATTCTGATGACTAATAATCACAGCCACGCACTCAGGACAAAGGAATTCAAGGGCCGGATGACTTTTATTTACAATTAATTGTGTAACACCCAAGGGCTGCATGAGAGCCCCAAACTCGAGGAGCTGCAGGGCTGTGAATAAGCACTAAAACCAGGAACGTCTCACAGAACCTCCAGGCAGATGGTTGTGATGTTTGTGCACCATCGCAGAGCAGCAGGCACAGCAGGGGGGACGGGGCAGTAAATCCTCGCTGCGCCCGCAGCCCCACGCAGCCCCGTTTGCCCATCTCTCCTGCACACATCCCTTGGGAAATATCCCTGCGTGCCCCAGGTCTGCTGTGACTGCAGCTCCTCCCACATCTGGGCTCGCTTGGGAACAACATCCAGCACAGCCCAATCTGGGTCAGCCGCTGACCCCGTGCCAAAATGGCTGCGGCGCAGCACGGCACTGCTGGGCGCTGCACAGAGCACCCAGCTCCAACAAGGAGCACAGGGAGGCAGCGATTCCCCGTCCTATCGTGACAGGACCGACAACACCCCCACCCCGGTCACAGCCTGGGCTGCAATTTGGCTGGAACGGGATTTAAAACTGCTGTTAATCACCACCTCCAAGGCTGTAAGGCCATAAGAACTCGGCGGTGCTGGGAACGCTCGTAAAGCAGAGCACGGGTCAGTGGGCCAAGGGCAGGCTTTGCTTCTGCACCCCAGGGACACCGAGCCAGGATCCTCACAGAGCAGCACCACCAGCACTGAATTCTGCACAGCACACGTAAAGATCCCAAATAGGAAGTTTGTTCTTATGCTCTTTTGGACAAAACTACAGCAGACGGCGCTGCTGGGCGCGTTCCTTCCAGTCCCAAATGGAAGCCTGCTGATCCTTTATTTATCTGATGATGATCCTTCTGTTTCATCGAGATCCCTATTACACATTAACCAAAGAATATAAACCCCAAGAACAGCCTGTTACCTACAAGTTTCCTGCTAAGAACAGCAACCTGCGTCACGGTTATCATCTCCACAGAAAAGGGCAATTTCTGCTTAAACATCTCATTTTTAAAACCAAAAATCATCAGTAAACAACAGCAAAAAACAAGGTTTGGGAATATAAACACAGCAAGGAGAGACGTTTCGGGTTCTAGTTCAGAGTTTGGAAGGCATGCTGTGGAACAGCTCTGGTTGGAAGAGACTTTAAGTATCACAGAACCATGGAATCACAGCAGGGATGGGTTGGAGGGATCTCAAAGAGCACAGAAGTAGGGAATCGTGGTATGGCTGGGATGGCAGGGACCTCAGGGATCACATAACTGCGGAGTTGTTGGGTTGGAAGGATCATAGAATTAGGGAATCACGGCAGGGTTGGGTTGGGAGGGACCTCAGAGGTCGTAGAACCATAGAATCTTGGGTTGGGCTGAGTAGAGCTGGGCTGGAAGGGATCTTGAGGACCACAGAACCATGGAATCACAGCATGGTTGGGTTGGAAGGGACCTCACGACCCCCAGTCCCACCCCACACCACAGGCTGGCTGCCCCCCACTCACACTGCCCTGGGTCCCAGCCATGGCTGTGGGCACCTCCAGGGATGGGGCACCACAACTTCCCTGTACCAGAGCCTCACCACCTTCTGAGCGAAGAATTTCCTCCTAAAACCTAACCTGAATTTCCCCCAGTTACCCCACTCCCATCACTATCAGAACATGTAAAAAGTCTGTCAGAGCCCACACAGAACCCCCAGACCCCACTCACAATACTGACTCCACTCAGATCCCACTCACACTCCTTACAGCCCCACAGACTCCACTCGAAGCCCCTCAGCATCCCAACAGAGTCCCACAGACCCAATCTTGCACCTCAGAGTCCCTCAGACCCCACTTGAAGCCAACTCAGAGCCCCCTCAGATCCCATTCAGAGCCTCTCCGAGTCCTTAGAATCCCAGAGACTCTTCTCAGACTCCACTCAGAGCCCTAAGAGTCCCACAAACTCCACTCAGACCACTCTGACCCCACTCAAAACCCCTCAGAGCCACTACAGTCCCACTGACCCCACTCTCAGAACCCCCAGACTCCACTCAACGCCCCTTACAGTCCCACACACTCCACTCAAAGCCCTCAGATCCCACTCACACCCCTTACCGTCCCACAGACTCCACTCAAAACCCTCAGCATCCCAACAGAGTTCCACAGACCCCATCGCTGCACCTCAGAGCCTCACACTCAGAGCCCCAACTCAGAGCCATTACAGCCCGAGACCCCACTCAGACCCCACTCAAAGCCCCTCAGAGTCCCACAGACCCCACTCACACCCCTTACCGTCCCACAGACTCCATTCAGAGCCCCACAAACTCCATTCAGAATGCAGTCAGATCCCACAGACCCCACTGGGAGCTTTCAGACCCCACTCAGAGCCATTACAGCCCATCAGACCCCACTCAGATCCCCTCAGACCCCACTGGGAGCCACTACAGCCCTCAGACCCCACTCAAAGCCCCTCAGAGCCCCACAGCCCCCACTCACATCCCTTACCATTCCACAGAGCCCACTCAGAGCCCACAAACTCCACTCACAGACCCCACTCAAAGCCCCCCACTCACACCCCACTCACACCCCTTGCCGTCCCTCAGACCCCCCCGCTCACCGCAGCCGGAGGTTCCCCATAAACTCGGGCATGGTGACGGCGTCCAGCAGCACGAAGTCGGCCTTGCCGAACTCCAAGCTCTCCTGCTCCGCCATGGTTCCGGGTGTATACGGCTGTATACGGCTGTATGTGTGTGTATGTGAGCGGACGCCGGGCTCCGAGCCGCCGCCGCACCCCGAAGGGCGGGGGGGGAGGAGGAGGGGGCGCGGCCCCGCCTCACCTCAGGTGGGCCCCCCCCCTCCACACCAGTGAGTGGTAGATGTGAGGCGAGAGCGGCCCCTGCCGGCCATAGAGGAGTGTTGGCTGCGAGGAGAGAGCGGCCCCTACTGGCTGCAAGCGGGTATGGCCCCCCCTGCCGGCAGAGCGCGGCACGGCGGCAGCCGGGAGGACCCCGCCCACTGCGCTCCGCTTAATCAGAAAGACCCAAAAAGTCCGGAATTGTTACGGATGGCAACAGCGGTAGAGCAGAGAGCTGCTCCTGGGAAGCTGGGTCACCCAAGGGCAATTAGAGAATCAGTGTTAACTGGGGAACTCAGAGCGACCTCAGCAGCATTTTGGGGAAGAGGCGGTGGGTTTGGGCGTGCAGGCACAAAGCACCGTGATTAATTACTCCATCCCCCGACCCCGCAGCCCAGTGGCAGCACCTCGAGAGAACACCCCCAAATTCTGCCCGTTTTGGCACTTTGCTGCACTTCCGCCCGATTGGTTTCACCCTTCCAGGGGAGCACCTCTGGGTGCGTTTTTATGCCGTGTTGCTGCAGGTGCTTAATTAACAAAGTGCAAACGAAGCTCCTGCTCCTTGCACACACACACCAACCCAGCCGAATATTGGCACAGCAGCCAGGAGTGCAAAGGTCCCTCCGTTAGGGGCGGTGCTGAGGGCAGAGCGGTGCAGGTTGTGTTGTCTTTTCCAAAAACACGACCTGAAACCAAACAGCTGCAAAACACAGCTGTGGCTCTGCAGGTCGGGCTGTGGGCTGTCAGACAGGCTGTCCAAAATCTGGCAACAAGAGGCTGTAGGACGACAAGCAATGGGAATGCTTTGTTCTGCAGCATGGCCGAGGCTGGGAGAGTGGGAAAAGGTGTTAAAGCAGAGGGTTGTGCTCAGTGGGGATGCACTGGGGTCGGACTTTGGGGTCTTGGCCTTTTCCAACCCTAATGATTCTCTGATTGTAATTAATCAGCCACCTGGTCTCCTCTGAAACACGTGACCTTTGCTCTTAATGAGCTGTAATGGTGCTCCGTTTCTTCTTCCCCATCTTCCTCAGATATTCCCCCTGGGGAGGGATGTGCTGGGGCACTGCAAACTCACCTGAGGGCGAGTGCTCACCTGAGCACTGCAAGAGCCGGCAGGGCAGCTGCAGCACAGCTGGGTGTCAGCATAGCACAGCTGGGCGTGAGTGCAGCACATCTGGACATCAGCATAGCACAGCTGGATGCCAGCTGCAGGGTGATGCAGCTTCCAGGTGTGTGTCCCAGTTCACAGTGGGTCTCCAGGCACCTGAGAGGCAGCTGCACCATGGACACCCCCCCCAACACCCAGAGAGCATTCATCCAGATCACCGATGAAGAGGGAACAGCAAGAGGGAAGTGTCCAGGGAAGTAGGTAATTAATTGCTGGAGCCACTTGTTAAGGGCTCTGAGATAGGCTCAGACATCGTGTTGTTAAGCAGAAGTAAACTGGGGGCGGTCCTGTGTCACACAGATGGCTCCAGAGGTTGGGCTGAAGCACTGCATGAAGTGTGAGCTGTTTGAATTGCACAGCACAGCTCCAGGGCACAGCCACGTGTGGCAGAGGGATCTGCATAGGCTGCACGGATGGGCCAAGCCCAACTGCATGGCGTACAGTGAGGGTGAGCACTGCGTCCTGCTCTTGGTTCCCAACGAAGCCACTTTTGTCTTTGGGAGGAGAGGATGGAGAGGCGCCCGGTGGGAAAGGACCTGGGGTGCTGATGGGCAGCTGGGTGCCCATCAGGGGCGTTAAGTTGGGTGTCAGGGGAGATTTCTGCATGGAGAGGGGTGCTTCATCCCCACTGCATGGACATGGCGCTGAGGGACGTGGTGTAGTGGTGGGACCTGAGAGCTCAGGCTGACTGCTGGACTCGGTGACCCTGAAGGCCTGCTCTAGCGTGGATGATTCCATGGGTCTGAGGTTCTGTGATTCCGCCATGGGTTTTCTGCTCATTTTTGGCCAAAAATAGCATGGAGATGCAGTCCATCCCCAACCTCTGTGTGGGGCTGTGCCCAGCTCTCATCAAATGAACGAGGAACCCAGTGGTGTGAGATGTGGAAGAAATAAAACAGAGCAGTGTTTGCAGGATGAGAGATCCCACAGCAGACACACGGCCGTGCCGGGACGCTTCCGACAACACATATGTGAGCACCATCAGCGTGGTGATCTGCTGCTCTGTGCCATGGGCTGCTCTGTGCCATGGGCTGCGCGTTGTCAAGGGCTGCATGGTGCCTTGGGCTGCACCTCACCCAGTGCTTCCAGGACTGGCATCCAACCAGCATTCTGATGGAGGCAGCTTCCAAGGCGCCGAGCAGAGCAGTCAGGAAGGAGAAGTGTGGGGGTTCCAGGAAGGAACCCAGCTGTGCTCTGCGTGTCCCATTGTAGCCATGGGGTGGGGAAGCGAGACCGTCCCAAAGCCGAGATGGGAGCTCCTGGTAGGATTCCTCTCTTGGCTCTGTGACCCCGCAGCGCTGCTCGGGGCAGAGGAAGCTGCTCTCACACAGCTGCACAGAGTCTCTGCCTCCCCTGGAGAGACGGCTTTCATTTCAGGGCTGGGAAATCACATGCTTGAAGGCTTCAGCGTGATGTCATTGGTTTTGGAGTTCAGAGGCGGCTCCCCAGCCTGGAAAGGGCTGCAGGACTGGAAATGAGGAGGGATTGCTGGGAAAGAGCTCCATGCTACGGATCCGGAGGCTCTCTGGGCACAGCAGCACCAGGGGCTGCGCACAGCAAACCCAGCCCGGCTCGCTGGGGGCACGGCTGGGCTGCTGTGCCAGAAGGAGATTTCCCCAGCCTCCTTGGTGCAGCCCTTCATTCTTCATGGCCAGCAATGAGACCCGGGCTGCAGCGGCTCATCTTTGACTCTTTTAATTCATCATAATTAATTTCACGAGCAAAGGCTGAGCCCAGCGCTCCCACTTGGCTTTAGGAAAAAAGTTTCCTCTGTGTCGTGCCCCTCTGCCAGCTGTTTTCTCCCTGATGAGGGTTTTTCCTAATTACTGTCACCTGAATTATTGGCTCGGATTTGTGAGGTTTATTTTAACTTCTGGTTTTCACTGGGGAATAAAGGATTGACTGGATCGAATTAATCAAAGTAAGACTGAATGCACAAGATCAGTGGAGATGCAGGGGGGAACACAGAGGTGGAGTTGAGCAGAGAGGAGACAGCAGGGGAGGAAAAGGCAATGGAAGCACTGCAGAGCAGATGTCTCCACTGCACTGTGGTTGACCACCTTTGCTTTTCTGTCTCCTGGTAGCTTTTCCCATCACGCACGAGAAATAAGACAAAAGAAGTGCCTGCATGTTTCCAGTCTGAGCAGGTGACCTGTGTTGGAATCATACGCAGACATCTGGCTCATTTGTGCTGAATGGAGATGGGGAAATTCCCATGGCAGCAGGTCAGGATCCCAGGCTGAAGGGCCAGGCTGCAGCAGCCACGTGAACAACTCTGAGAAGCGTGCATTTAATTTCACTGTGCTCCACTGGGGTACGGTTGTGTTGTGTTCCACTGCTTTGCTTTGGATTCCATTGATTTCACTGCATCTCTTTGCACTGGCCAGGGTTTTGTTGTGTTTGCATTGGGTTGGGGTTGTGTTCCATTGCTTTGGATTCCTTTGCATTTCATTTTGTTGTGTTACATTGGGGTAGAGATGTGTTGTGTTCCATTGCCTTGCTCTGGATTTCACTGCGTTCCATTGCATTGCTTTGCATTTTGTTAGGGTCGTGTTCCATTGCTTTGTATTGTGTGAGGGTTGCATTGCACTGCACTGCTTTAGATTCCGTTGCATTTCATTTTGTTGTGTTGCATTGGATAAGGTTTGTGTTGCATTCCAATGCTTTGCTTTGGGTTAGGGTTGCGTTCCATTGCTTTGATTCCATTGCATTCCATTATTTTGGGTGGGGTTGGGGCTGTGTTGTGTTCCAGTGCTTTGGATTCCATTGCATTTCATTATGTTGCACTGGGTTAGAGCCGTGCTGTGCTCCATTGCTTTGCTTTGGATTCCATTGCATTTCATTTAATTCTGCTGTGTTGGGTTGGGTTGGGTTGCATCCCATGGCTTTGGATTGCATTGCATTTCACTGCACTGCGTTGCATCCCATTGCACTGCATCTCACTGCATCCCATTGCACTGCATCTCACTGCATCCCATTGCACTGCATCTCATTGCATTTCATCGCATCCCGTTGCACTGCACTCCATTGAAGAACACCAGCAATCAGATGCAATCAGATGCAATCAGATGCAATCAGATGCAATTAGATGCAATCAGATGCTGCTGGCCGGGCTGGGAGGAGGGCTGAGCATGGAGTGATGCCCGTGCTGCTGGGGTTGCCACGTTCTCCTGCCCCTTTGAAAAAACAGAACAGAAGTTGCAGCACAGCAGCAGCTGGTTTCTAATGCAGCCCAGCCCCAACGTCTGTGAGAGGAGTGCGCAGGATTTCTGAAGGTTCACAGAGAGGACAAGGCTGGGATTGTGCGAGACACAACTGACAACAACAGCCACTCATGGCTGAGCCTCCCGCAGGGCCCAGCGTCCAGCCCTGGGGTTTCCATCTCGTGGCACTCTGATCCATGGCATTCGGCAGAGTTTGACACAGACTTTTGGGTTCATTCTATCTGCCCATTTGAACGCCTGCTCCCAACCCTCCCTCATTAAACCACTGCCTTGGGAGCAGATGTGCTTCCCTGTCCTCAGACCCGCAGTAATACAAGGCAAGACCTGGGGGTGGCACTGCACCCAGGGAATGAAAGCACTGCGCACTATGAGGTGACGCACAGCGCCCTGCAGCCACAGCACCCACAGACCTCATGGATCACTGCCCCACTCCTCCCCTCCCTGCCTCTATGGGGCACACAGCAGCAGCCAGCCATACACAGGCTGGAAGCCAGTGCCCAAAACAAGAGGAGCATGGCTGAGAAGTGCAGCAGTGAAAGGGAAAACAGCGAGGCCTTGGCTGACGCGTAATGC